TGGCAAAAACTGCAAATATGACTGAATAAAACCATGAAAAGTAAAAGCTTCGTAATGGGGCCAAGAATTATTTCAAACATTGAACTTCATGGATACAGAGGAATCATCTGTTTTATAGTTTGTTTCTCTATGTAAGGCTTAGTTTAATAATTCTTATAATCCTCTCTTTGCTTCACACAAAACCATCATCTTTATGCCTTTTATGATTTTTGATTCTACTGGGGGTGGGGGTGAGGATGGTGGTGGTAGAAACTGTAACAACTATTTTTTCTTAGTTTATTTAACTTCTATTGCCCCAAGTCACAAATAAACGACTCTTTCTAGAACACAGGTGAAAAGAAAGATGTTTCTGGCAAGGAATGAAAAGTCAGATTATTGATTTGATATTAGGGATTCATTTTGTTGTTGTTGTTGTTATATTGAGGTGTTTTTCTACTTATAAAGTACAGGAAATAAAAGTTTTTGGTAGATGTCTCTGTAAATTCACCTTGTTTCATATCACTTTAATCTCTAGAATGCATTTTGGTTTGTGGTTTTTTTAGGGGCCTGTTAATAGATTTGGTTTTTCAGAGTAGCCCAAAGTGCTTTTCCAGGAAATTATATAGGTGGCATGTTTAGATAAGCTGTCTATTTTTTGTAAGTTTTAATATTTACATAAAGAGCTTATTATTTTGAGACGTCTGTCATTTTATCAGTCTAGTTAGGCCACTAGAGTTCCTATGTAATTGCAACATTGTTCTTGTTCATATAATTATAGGCCTTAATTTTTATATTTTAATTAGAGTTCTTTCTTTTGATTGTGACATCTCTTTCTTATGTCTGTTTTGACAATGTGATTGGCAGCAGTTCATCAACTTTACACGTACTTGTTGAAGGTTAACATTTACTAGCAACTCTTCATTAAAACTGAAACTCAGAATCATCTTTAGAAAGGAAAGGGACTTGACTCAAGGCCAAAAACAAATCAGCAAGACAAATCAACAGAATGTTCTGGATTTAAAACTGATGTCCCCCAGGAAGATTAAGTGAGTATTAGGAGTGATCCCTCCCTCCAAGTGGCTGCTGCTAATTATTGCCTCCATGACTTAGATGAATTTCCTAAATTTCCCATAAATCTTTCTTGGTATTGCTAAACTGGGGATAACTGCTTCTTAGGAATATTATTAGAATTGAATAAATTAATATCTATAAAGACCTTAAAACAGAGTTCAGTATAAAGTAAGTTTCTTAAATAGTTTTGTGTTTTTTTAATGAATGAGTGATGAAAACATCACTGTCCCAAGATAACACCTATTTTAATTCTGACAACAGCCAATAAATACTTTTTCTTCATTAATGCTAGGCTTCCCATATATGTAAAACCATCAGTCATACCTATTAGTTATAGAAATCATGAGTTATAGGAGACAGGCTAGAAAAGGTGTATTTGACCTATTTAGAGCTAAGAACATTTTAAAATTTTTCTTTGTTTACTAAAAATACAAAGACAAGAACAGACTTAATTAACTGGTAGATCTTGTTGGCTAAATGTAGGAGTTTGGAGAGGTCTTATTCTTGGCTTAGGACTTCTGATTTCTGTGTGACAGCTGTTATTATTGTCTACAATCTGGAAGGTATTTTAATTTTCAAAGGAATATAGCCTATGAATGAATGAGTTGTTTAGTTTGGAATGCCAGTTCTACCACTCTTCACCTGAGACTTTTGATTTCACACCAATGACACTCAGTCTGTTCCTCCTGATTCCTTACTGGTGTCTTCTTTCTTTCTGTATATGGGCTGGCCTGACTCCCTTGGTTAGAATCAGACACAAAAACTTTTTATTTCTTTAGGCTACCAGATCTTACGAATGTCTCCTCTTCTTCTCGCTGATTTGCCAGACTTATCCATCTGCCACTTCACTTCCTCAGCCATCCAACCCCATACCTCCAGCTAATTATAAGACAATTTAGATTCCTATTGATAACTTCAACTTCTCATGCTCTAAAAATTAATTCATCTGTCTCTTGTCATTCTAACAGAAAAATCCACATACTGAGAAAAGATAATCATATTTGACAAAGGCCTGATATCTTGAATATTTAAAACTTTACAAATCAATAAGGAAAAAAAAAAGAGGCAAATCAATAGAAAAGTGAGTGGAAAGCATGAACGCTGAACAGCCATTTCAAAGGAGAGGAAACATGAATGGCACAGAAACATGAAAAAGTGTCCAAACTTAGTAGTAAGTAAGTAAAACCTCAGTGGGACACTTAACTAATTGGCCTGTGTGAAATTATGACAGTGTCAAAGATTGGTGAGGATATGCACTCCTGAGCATTTTCATACTTGATTGGTGGGGTTAAATTTTGGAGCAGTCATTTGGAAACAAATTTGGAATTACTTAATAAGATTAAACATATGCACATCCTGTGACCTACCCATTATTCTGCTACTTACTTAGCATCCCTGCTCTAAGAGACTTGCACAGAACTGTTTAAAACAGCCATGTTTAGAATACAAAAACACTGGAAATGACCAAATATTCATAAATAGCATGATGGATAAATAAACCATGGTGCATTAAATCAATGGAATGCTATACACCTGGAAAATAGGTGGACTAAAGCTACATTAATCAACAAGGGTAAATCTGAAACACATACTTTTGTACAAAAATGCTCCTCATAGGAATTTTATGGTGTCGTTTTAAAATTACTCACTTACAGGTTCTTCAGCGTCAGTGAGCTTTTGCAGCCTCCCTCTTTCAGTCTTGAAATGCAGCATTCAGCAGAGGAAAAGAAAGTTAAGATCAGAAGTGTAGCTTACTGCCAGTTCAACACTATTTTCATAATAATAATACTGATAATAAAGCTAGCTCTTTATGACATTTTTAATAGTTTACAAATGATAATAATATAATTCCCGTACAAGCTCGACTGTACAGAGACATATATAAGTGAGATATTAGGATAAAAGTTTATAAAGAGATAAACCACAGACACGTTCTAGAAACCCAGTACTTTCCAAGGTTATGAATGTGGATGCTTTCCATGTTCTCCTTCTATGATCAGCTCCTACTAAAACATCAGGGAAGATGGAGAGAAACCTGCAGACCCTTACAGCTCTGTGATCTTTTCCCAGTTGTTCTACAGACCATTGTAAGGCAGAGTGGGCCCAAGAATGAAAGGAAAGATTGCTGCATTCTTTGAAGCCTTAAATTCTGCAAACAGCTCTGGAGTTTCTCTTTTGAATTCTTTTTGGACCCTCCCTAGTCTGCCATCTGGCATTTAGAACGTGGCCTTGTGTTTGCACATTCCCCACTTTTACAAAGTTAGAGACTCCATGAAGTTAGAGACTATAGGGAATCAGGCATATTCCAGGAGTTGGGGAGCATATTATGGGATGATCTCGCAGTTTCCTGACACTCCTCAGAGGCACTCAGAGTTCACGCCAAGACTGAAACGCAGTGGGTGTGACTGGGATGGGGTGGGGCGGCTCCGCATTGCTGCCACTGCCAGCAGAGTGCCCTCCTCAAGCTTGCATTGTGTAAAATACAGAAAAAGCGAAACACAACACCAACCAACAACAACACGCACCCCCAGAAATAGTCCTGGTAAAAATTCACAAGCATTTCAGAAGTTGGTGTTATAACATTGGTCTTAAATAACTTTGTGATGCATGTTAAAGTCCTCCAGAAATAGAAAATTTCTTCAACTGCTCTTTTGCGACAAAAGTCTAAAGCAGTGATTTTTAACTGTTGAATTTTTAAAACATGCAGGGGCACTGATTACCCCCCCCCCCTTAGATTATAAAAGAAAAAAAAAAAAGACAACCAACACAACAATAGCTGTCCAATGTGAATGAATCAAAAACGAATCAAAATTATACTTATTTTTTTATCAGATCAGCAAAAAAATATATTTGTTGGTGTGCAGCAGGAATTTAGTAATTTATGTAAGCTATGGCATGAAAAAACTTGAAAATCACTTCTTTTAAAGGAAAGAAGTTTAAAATATGGGGCACTAAATCTCTAGATTATGATCTCTTTGATTTCTTGCCTTTTTATATCAGTTTGTGAAGTTTGCTAGATATTGTTTTAAAGGGGGATTATTAGAGATGTCTCAGGAAATAATGGAAATGCAAAGTGCGCTGCCACACCGGAGTGGGAAAGCAGTGTCACTGTCCTCATCCACATTTGTTAAGGGACAAATCCTTCCTTAGAAATAGGTGGGTGAGGGCAATCGGGGGGGTTAATTGGGGGATAAGGACACATATGTCATACCTTAATCAGTAGAGAAATTTAAAAAAAAAAATGGCAGGAGAACTTGGATTCCAGGAACAATGGTTGCACCTAAACAGAAGTCTCAGTTTTTCTTTAGTTCTTGTGAAACTAAAAATATTTGATACCATGAAATGGAGTCAGTTTTATTGGCAAGTAAAGCATGCTGATCCCAGTTCAATAGATTCCAATTTGACTATTGATTCAGTTATTCAGTAATATACTGAATATGTCTTTTTTCGCTGAATTTTTGGAGCAGGTGAGTGGAACAGTTGAAGGATTTTTTTTTTTTTTTTTTTTTTTTTTTTTTTTTTTTTTTTTTTTTTTTTTTTTTTTTCTGATAAGACTTCAATGTCCTGGAATCGTTTTGGCCTATGTGACAGAGAGCAGTTGGATATAGGGAAGATGGATATACAGAAAGAGGAGCCTAGTACCAAGGTTGGTTGCATAGTGTGTGACAGGAATAATCTCACCCACATCCACTGGTGCATGTATAGACAGCTACAATCCCCCCCCCCCCCCGCCCCCTCACATGGAGTATTAGTTCTAAAGATCTTTCATGTAGAATTTAACTTAAGTTTATTTTTGAGATTTCGGCCTACAAAAGACTTCTAGGAAAGCCTGCCATTGGGTTCTGGGTTTCTTATTTTGACCAAGTGACTATTCAGCCTACTGAGGATTTACGCATTGTGTGCCCCTCCTTTCCCCCCACTCTGCGGCCTCTTCCCCGTGGGAAACGAAGACTGCTGCGTCCACTGCATCCTGGCCTGCTTGTTCTGCGAGTTCCTGACCCTCTGCAACATCGTCCTGGGACAGGCCTCCTGTGGCGCCTGCGCCTCGGAAGCCTGCTGCTGCTGCTGCGGGGACGACGCGGGCGACGACTGCCGCTGCCCCTGCGACATGGACTGCGGCATCATGGACGCCTGCTGCGAGTCCTCGGACTGTTTGGAGATCTGCATGGAGTGCTGCGGCATTTGTTTTCCTTCGTAAACATTTCTCTTCCCTTCGTGCTAAAACTGGAGAGTGTTTTAAAGTTTCCTTTTAAGGAAGGAAAAAAAGCACACGGTAGGATTTCATGAAACAAGCAACCTGGTATTTGCACTGTTGACTCATGTTAGTCACCTCTGAAAGCCTTTTGTCCCCTCTCACCAGATCTACATGGTTTAATATGGGACATGTTAACTACTTTTAAACTCTTTCATAGGACTCAATGACTAAGGGACATTTTGACCAAAAAAATAAAACAAAACAAGCCAAAAACCAACAAAAACAACTAAATAATTCCTCCTTTTCGTACATATTTCTATTTCTTTTACTCGTTTTCAGAAGGCTTTTGCTCCAAATGTGTTATTTCTCCATGGATATTCAAAGCAGACTAATTTTATTGGGGCATCTATTCATGGTTAACAATAGACATTTTTACTTTAAAGTAAACTTGGGGAAACAAATCTATATAGTAGTTGGGCGCCCCAAGTTCATCTTTATGCTCTGTTCTCCACTTTCTGCATTTGCTCAGCAGACATTGAGTGCCTACTGTGTGTCATCTGTGAGATGCAGAGATGGCTGCCACTCAGTTTCTACCCATGAGAAGAGAGTTTAGTGGAGGAAAGAGACCTGTAAAAATGAACCACAAGGCATACTATGGGGATTATGAGAGAGAGAAACTCAAAAGGATATGGGAACGCAATATACAGAAAAGAACAACTAATATCTGCTGAAATGTTCAGAAAGTTCAAGGAGAATGTGACATTTGAGGAAGCCTCTTTGAATGAGTGATTATCTGCTGCTGGGATGAATTATTTGAACTTAGGGCAAAGTTTAGGTGAATAGCCTGCACTGTGTATTTTTAAGCAGTTAAAGAATAAAAACCTTAAGTATGGATTTTCTTTAGTTGTAAAACCTATAACTTAAAAAAAAACACACAACACTATAAACTTTAACTAAAATATACATTTTTTTACATTAATGTAAAAGTTATGATAAAGTTTTGGGTAAAAACAGAAGGCCTTATTTATAATCCATATTTTCTAAAGAATGTGAAATGCTTTTTGACAAATTGCATTTAAATTAGGAGATTTTTAATATTAAACTCCCGGTATTTTTGTTTTAATTTATTCAAAAGCCTTTTTTTTTTTAACTTGAGAATTGTGTTGTTTTCTAAGGGGGCTCATGGGTTGGTTTGTCTTTGGTTTGTTTCTTAAGCAGTGTTGTATGTTATAAACAGCCAGCCACTCTTCCAATGCAGTGGGAGTCTCAACATCCACTACCTGACCAATTTCAGTATTGCGATTTTATGTAAAATTAAACTAACAAGGCAGGTTAGGAAACCTTGTATACCGAAATAAGTCAATTACAAGACTGAGGATATTGCTATTGAGATGGACACTGTGTTGGGCAGATAAAAGGAGGAGGAAGTGTTCACATCACGTGGTCTCCTGCATTTGATCTTCCTGAAGTTGTAGTTTGGTTTGATGTAATGTCATTTCTTGAAGAAATTTTGAAAATATACTTTGGATTAATAGTTATTTTTAATTTTTCTGGTTGAATATCAAATTAAGAGTAAAAACAAGTGCATATTTTTAGGAAGCTTTTAAGCAAACCTAGTCTTTTAAGAGAAATTTTAAATCTAAACCATGGCAATGCTACCTATGGTTTTTTCTTTGAGATGAAACCTAGATTCTACTTATAACTTTACCTAAAGTGCTTAAAAAGTAGTTACCTCCCTCGTTTACACACATACACTCATAACTTTAAAGAGTCTGGTTTGAATAGAATTCTAGTAAACATCTGTCTCTCCCTTGACTTTCTCTTCCTTGTGTTTTAGTTGTTACGTCAAATATAAGAACGTCATAGTAACCAGAATCTGAATATTTGCATGTACCCAGAGTTACCTTAGGCATATACCATATTAGGATGTGTGTCATCTGTGTATTGTCCTATTAAAGCCTTCTAATGTTCTAAAATTATTAAAATATTTCACTTTTTATCCTGCAGAATTTCTCAACCAAGTGGTTAGTCTAATACTTAACTATATTCTGCTACTATTTGCAGTAAAAACATTAGCACTTTTAAAATAATGTTTCTCTGTAACAGAGAACACTAATGGAATATTTTGGTTTTTTCATATTTGTACCCCTAGCGCTTTTCCTCTGTTGTGTGCTTTGCAGTCATTCCATAAAGCACCTGGTGTTACTAGGGAGATTAGTGGGCCAGACTCCCCTGTCATTCGTAGGAGTGAGTTCTTGGGGTTCCTCTGCAACGAGCGTTTTCAGGAGTCCCCACAGAAGACAGAGATGTGGGAAAAGGCTCTACTTGCGGGGAGTTACATTCCTTGGGCTCCAAAGTCCCTATGTCCCTTCTGCCAGTCCTGAGAAAGGTGCCTCTGGGGTCTTATTAGAGCCAAGAAAGTCCGTGTTGCAGCTGGTTCCGGCAGAGCATCAGGCTGGTTAGAGTCCGTTAGGCCATGGAGAGCTGCATGGCCGTGGACCACGTGGGTGAGTGCAGGGAAAGGGCCCTCTGCACAGGGGCCAGGCACAGACAGCAGGCAAGGGGGCCACACAAGGAAACTCCCTTGTCTAGGAGTGTTACTGTTCAGGTCTCACACTTTTGCTGTGGTCATGCCTGTGCTGGCCACTGACTGTCTTCCAGGTGTGACTGACAGCTGAGCACCCAGACCTCCCAGACCTTGCTGGGCATGCGTCCAAACTGCCTCTGTTCAGTCCCTTCCCCCTTTGATCATCCGGGAACAGACTTGGAGAGTGTTAAAAGACAGCTTCCTAGCAAAGCCGAACTCGTCTCAATGGCATGCCTATATCATCTAGTCTTCCCTTAACTCCTACCCTGTTAAATAATTATAATGCTATCACTTGTATTACTTTTTAAAAAATAAATGGGGAACAAATCAAAGTAGGCAATTGTGAAAATAATTTCAAGGTGTTTTAGAATTTCTGTATGTAACATGTTTTTGTTGAATTATATGGCCGTTGTGACTAAGTGATACAGTTTACAGTTATAGACTCGGTTTCTTTTTAAATGTGGAAACAATCTCATTTTTAAACTTGATCTGTATTATCATGAATACATTACCTTGAAATAAAAATAGGACCTCTTTCTTGTGCTTTAGAATATTTTGTAGAGATGTTCTGTTGTATGTAATTGATATATTAATTGCTGTTTGAAAAAGTTCAACTGTAATTTTAAAAACTGAGGATTTTATCACGTTCATTCCTTTTTTGAAGGTTTTCTAGTCTCCTTATGTAAATCACACCCATAATGAACTATGAAAAATATCAGTTCAGCTTATACTGAAAATCACAGTTGACATATTGATTTCAAAACATAGTATTCCACAATAGGTCAAAATGCAAGTTTTGTACCTTTTAAAAAAAGTAACTTGTTTTTACATATTTGTTTTGGAATTGTCTCTCAACTTATAAAAATTAAGGTGGTGTGTGTTTTTTTTAATCCTTACCCAAGGACATTTTTCCTTTGATTGTTAGAGAAAGTGGAAGAGAGAGAAATATTGACGTGAGAGAAACACAACAATTGGTTGCCTCCTGCATAAACCCTGAGGAGCCCACAACTGAGGTACATTCCCTTGACTGGAATCGAACCCAGGACCATACAGTCCACAGGCTGACACTCTACCCACTAAGCCAAACCAGCTAGGGCATGGTAATTTTGTACATTGCATGTACATGAAAGTTCTATGAAGTTGGGTATTAGATTTAATGAGTTTTGCCTAAAAGTAAGTCATCAGAAATATTATTTAGGGTTTTCAGTTGTCACAATTTTTAAACAGTAGGACTTTTTTCTTTTTTTACAGTTAGTATTTAACCTCTCTAAAATTATGTAGAAGGTTTGTTATGTAGAAATATAATACTTTATTTTTGTGTTCTTACAGTATATCAACTATATTCATTTTCTTTACTTGAAGAAGTTTCTCTAAACAGTCCAAGGAGTAACCAAGGAAACCTTAGGAAATAACATCCCATTTTTTATTCACACAAACCTATCAGTGCCCTAGATTCTAATTCTGTAAACGTCAGAGTCACTGCCATAACAAGTGAGACTCAAGTCCAGAGGATTTGTGGCTTACTCTCTTGAATTTCAGTTGAAATGCTTAGATTTACCCAACCACCTGATGAATAAGTTTATTTATTAATAATATTAATTTTCAAATTAGTCAATGCCTTTATGCCCTTTACAATTACTTGTGATTTGTAGGTCTGTAGGTTTGTTACACCTAATCTGTCAGGCATAATATCATTTTATCAAATACTAAAATAGCAATTTTTCTCTTCCTTTGCATTACCGTTTTTGTTTTCAAAGGCGGGAAATATTTGATAGGTTTATCTCACACTGTTTATATTGTTAAATCAAACAGTTACTACACTGGGGAGGGAGGGCATGTATGGGAGTGTGTGGGGGGGAATTGGTAAGATATATACACACATAATACCATAATAATAATAATAATAATAATAAAAACATCAGTTTCTACAAGGAGGGTCCTTTTCACCATTCACGTGGCCCACGTTAAGCAGGAAGTGTTTAGTGGCTTGTCTCTAGGCGTCTCAGGAGAGTCCGGTCCCCCTCAGGAGGTTTCACACCATGGGAGAAGCTGGGCGTATCCCATGAGAAAATTCTTAGTTTCAACAGTGACGCTACTAATATTTACTCATTTATTTAGGATTACTTGTAGAGGTTTTGGTTAAAATGGAAGGGGTTGTGGAGAGGAATAACATTTTGATCAACCCTGATATGGAGGGGTTTTTTTTTTGTTTGTTTGTTTGTTTCTCTCTCCAAAAGCTATCACCGATGACTAAATCTACCATGTATCTTCATGTTACCAAATCCCCAAGTGCACAACGGCTGCTCTCTCTACTTTAAAGGACTGGGAATGGCAGTATTGCATAAATCACATGTGTCAAACACAAGGCCCGCGGGCCAAATCCGTCCCACCAGGCCTTGCAATGTGGCCCGCACCACGCTGTCATCACTGCACTCCGCTGCGTTTCCATCACAATGACAGTTTATGACTGTTCAGTAAACCATTTGGCCCGCGATTTAGGCTGGATTTTAGATTTTGGCCCCTTCTCTGATTGAGTTCGACACCCCTAGCGTAAATGATCACATTTTAATGAAGGCAGGAAGTGAAAGGAATATAAGGAAAGCCACAGCACAGCCCCACCTGGAGAGCAGGATCTCTAGGCCAGTGGAAATCTGCCAGCACATTCTGGACTGGACTGGGACAAGTGTGACATTCCCAGGGGCTGCAGCCCGAGCTGTCAGATGTCAACATGAGCAGCTTCCAACTAACTCTGGCTACTAGTTCTATCCCCTTGTTAGTTTGGCTGTTACACCCTCTAGCCCTTATTTACCTTGGTGCTCACTAAGGGACTCTTGATTTAGTTGTGAGGGGACCATGAAGAAATAAGTTTAGATAACCATCCTTTGGCCCATTCCTAACGAGTATTGATATATGCGGAAAAGGAAAAGGATAGCTCTGTAATCAAGTGTTCAGCTCCAGGAAGATCTTTGTGTGAGTTTCGGTTGAGAGTGAAATTTTTAAGAGAATGGTGAAAAGCAAATTCAAACAAATTCTAAGTTTAGCTGGGAAACTGAAAAAGGTTCTTTAAGTTCTGTCTGGTGCATAAAGAGACAGGAAGCAAAGGAATTGCGTTGCAAAGCCAAGAAAGAGAGGGTACAAAGGCAGCTGATTCACTTGACATGGTTCATCGCTTTCTGCGAAGGAATAAAAGCCTGTTGAGCAGGGAACCAAAAGATCTCATTATAGGATGAAGCGAAGCCATATTAAAGCTTGTGCACTAGTAACTATGTCTAAAAACAGCCTGCTGTTTTATATTGAACCGATACATGTCTTAACCTGGTGGGTTGCTGTGTTAAGATGTACAGTGCCTTGTCTGCCAGTTGCTATGCCAATTACAGATGTGGTTGAGTGGTGTCAAACACCTACCAATAAGTAGGCTCTCAAGCACACGAGAGTGAAACAAAAGTTTTAAGATGTCATCTCAAAACCTCGAAAGCACAGTGCATGCTGAGTGTCTTGACTCTGAGAGTCCCGAGATCACCTTTATTACATAATTTAATGTGGATCCCTCAATCAGAATGCACAGTTCTTTCAAGGATGTGAACAGGGAGTGAGAGATAAGGAGAGTACCTTTCAAAAGTAACAACTTCAGATGACAAGGCATCTGTGATCAGCTCGGCAGGAACCGTGTTTGACTGCTGTTGAGGCGGAGGAGGGCAATACCCAGGAACACGTGTTGTATTAGGTTTTGTTAGATCATCAAAAAGAATAATTGAGCATATTTACACAATTACACTTCCGTAAACTAATATACCAACCTAACTGTAGTACATATTCTGGTAAAGGGACGTTCAATTGCCACCCCAAAACAATTTGGCTGCTAAGGACTTTTTAACCTAATTATTCAGACATTAATGAAATTAAGAAAGTGAAGCAATGCTGAGAATCAGAACTACAGATTAGTTAAAGCAAAGATATGCAATGCATAACAGAATTAAAGCTTTTCTTTTATTCAAACTCAGTGCTTAAAAAAAGAACAAATCCATCATATTGAAATTTGACTTGTAGGTTGACATTAAAAATAATATGAGTAGAATTTTCAGTGGGGTAAGCACAAAACTAGTTCAAGTTGTGTCACTCTCAATTACTGTACTCGAGTGGTATGCCCATTAAAATTCCCACTTGTGGGTTTCGCTCACTATGCAAATGGGATCATTACCTGGAGAATTTAATTGGTTATGACACTGGGAGTAAAACTTTTCCTTTCAAAATAAACCTACTTACACACATTTTCACTAGAAATTTCATATATATATATATACACATATATATATATATATACACACACACATACACACACTTTATATTGTTTTCCTCTCTAAATATTTACTAAAATTAGACTCCTTCCTCACTTTTCACAAATATTGTAAAGTGGATCCAAATTAATTTGAAATAATTTTATTTGTTTGTCTATGAGGCTAGTTGAAATGAATCTTACTTTGATAGTAAGTCATACTATCAAAATATTATAAAAATTTTTTTTTATCTTTCACACCACCCATCACACACAGGTACATTTTCCTGTAAAGGTTTTCATCATTTAATAGCATACATTTTTTTCATAATATTTTTAAATACTTGATTCAAGAGGCTTCTTTCATTTTCCTCTTTTCATTTTTGTCCCTTTAAAAAACAATGAAAGAGCTAAGCTGTTCTCTTGGAAGTATTAGAGATAGATGATAGATATATAGATAAATAGATGATAGATAGATAAGATGTTGAGGAGCCTTGTCTATAACACTTGCAAGGTTTTTATATGCACTGATAAGATGGGATAATGAAATTAAGCTGATGGTCATAATTATTTCTAAAGATACTTCCACCAAAAGCCTTGATACAACTGAATTTAAAGAGCACAAGTAACTAGACTTATTGGGGTGATCACTTTTTAGGATATATAAATGTCTAACCACTATGCTATATACATGAAACTAATATTAATATCATATGTCAACTGTAACTGAAAAATAAATTTAAAAAAATGTTTTTATTGATTTTTAGAGAGAGAAAAAGGGAGAGGAAGAGAGAGGTAGAAATATCATTCATCAGCTGCCTCCTGCATTTCCCCTATTGAAGATCAAGCCTGCAACCTGGGCATGTGCCCTGACTGGAATCAAACCAGTGACCTCTTGGTTCATAGGTCAATGCTCAACTGCTGAGCCACACCGATCTGACTGAAAAATAAGTTTTTAAAAATAAAGAGAACAGACAACAAATCAGTGTGAAAGTATAATTCTCCATACACCTATTATCTGTTTCTGTGGATTATGGTGATTTCAACTGGAGAAAATCTAAGTTTATAGCTACCCTACCAAGAATGTTGATAATGGCTTGAATGTACAATGAACACTGAAATTACAGTGTGGCTTAGTGGATATTAAACTGGACTACCAGAAATTTAGTTCCTAGAAACAGACTCTACAAGCACTTCTCAGAGTTAACTTAAAGTAGGGACAAGATTGCTCTAAGTACTGAATATATAATCTCAGGGAAGCAGGAAAGATTTC